GGCTAAAGTTTACCACTCTACAATCAGTCAAAAAAAAAAAAAGAAAAGAAAAGAAAGAAAGAAAGAAAACAAAAGAAAATCCCTGCACCCATTAACACCAAGAGCATAGAGAAGCATTTCCAGCCTCATCGGCTCCTAGACCTTGGGATACCTTCACCTGCTTCATTCTCATTTACAGGCTGCCCTTCTAGGAAAAATGAAGCAAAAAAAAAAGAATAAATGAAGGGAGCTGATTCAGGAAACTCTCATTTTGCAAGTGCATGTGGACAGAAGTCTTTAAATTGTTAGGCACAAACTCTCCATGAAAAATAATAATGCCAGGCCTGGGTACAGCACAAGGACAAATGGGATGATTTTCAAATCCTCCACTGGCCACCGGAAAGCTCATTAAGTAGAAAAGGAGACCAGTTCAAATTTTGCTGCATATTTGTTTTTCAAGAAAGACATGAGCTCTCACAACCCCTCCCCTTGAAAATGTCCTAAATAAAATAAGAGCTACTGGTGTGTGCAAACGGTACTCCTGAGAGCTACTGCAATGCCTTTAAAAAGGTCAAATAGCTACAATAAAGAATAGCAATTTATTTTCTTTCAGTGCTAGGATTGCACTCAGGGCTGCTTTTTGCATGCCAGGCAAGCCCTCTGCCACTGAGCTATAGCCCCAATCAAGAGTAGCAATTCAAAAAAAAAAAAAATGTGTAAAGTTTGAAGAATGTGGAGGGATTTAAATATAATAGGACTCAAGAGTAAATTTTAAATATTTTAAAATAGTTGTGAAGATTTATCTGTGTCACACCATTGCTTTGCAATATATCAGTTTCATATAATTAATTTGGATTTCCTCATGAAGGACTCAACTTCTAATTACTAAGTACACACAGACAAAGGTAATCTGCTTTACCAAAATGTGCTTTACAATGTGGTAAACAACAGAAGTGGGATGTGTCTTTCTGGCTGATAGCACCTAATCCCCACGTAGTCAGGAAAACACAAAATGGTGCCTTTGCTGGAAAACAGCTGGCAGCAAAGCCCAGAGCCCAAGGGGAAGGAACAGGTGTGTTCACTGCAGGTTCCACTTGCTTCTAAGTACTTAGCCAGGAGGAAACCTTCACACACTGTCTGGTCCAACTATCTCACCTACAGCTGGGGAAGCTGAGGACAAGGGCTGATTGACTTACCAAATCCGAAAAAGTTGTTTATCAGGAATAAACTTCTCCAGACCCCAAGAGATTAGAAGCAACAAACCCGTGGCAAAAGGTGGGGTGAGTTGTGGCTGTTATACTTTAGGCAATGACAAATGGCAGCTCAGGATGGAAGACAGGCAGAAAAACCACAGAGTTTATTACACAATAATATTGACATTAAGACTAAAAATTAATTCTAGTCATTAGCAGAAGGCTCTATAAGTTGATTTTTCTGCATTAAAAAGGAGGACATAAGACACTTATTGTTAAAAAGTTATTATTAAATTGTAGTATAAAGGTGTATTAAGAATTGTAAAGCAAAAAAATTATGAGTGTAATGCACTCCACTATTGTCATGTAAAAAAAAAAAAGAAGGAGGGGCTGTAGTTGTGGCTCAGCAGTAGAGTGCTTGCCTTACACATGTGAGGCACTGGATTCAATCCTCAACACCATATAAACATAAATAAACAAAGTATCGTGTCCATCTACAATTTTAAAAAAATACTTAAAAAATATTTTTTTTAAAAAAAAGAAGGAAAATATGTATATATCTTAGATTTCTTTCCACTAAGAATTTTTAAGATAAACCTAGAGGGCCCATTCAAAGGCTCCAAGTATCAGAAGGCTAATTCCCATGGAATGCCTTTGTGCCCAACAATGCTAGATAAATGCCATTTATACACATGATTATTTTTTCTAGGATAGATTTAAGTTTATTTTTGAGATGCACATACATTTCACAGATGATAAATCCAATACTTTGATTTCTAAGAGCTAAAATAACCTGCATACAGATGACAACTTATCTAAATGACCAGAAATAAAAATGACTGACTGCAAATAAGCCCTCAGGAACATACAGTACTTAAGCATCACTAATCACCACTCCCAAGGCCACATGTGTGTCAACAGCACCTTATCTATGCTGATGATGTTGTAAGAGTCCAAAGACAGGCAGATGACATGGATAAGAATTTATTACTCCCGTGTGAAATAACAATAATGCTAGCTTTACCAATGACCATCTCAGGACTGGGAGAGTTGTACCTTCCCTCTCTCTCCCCCTTTCTGTCCCCTCCCTTCCTGGGCAGCTCACCTTTAGCTCTTAGCAACATAACAAGGAAGAGACAACTCTGTGATAAGATGCCTCTTGCATTCCTAGGACTTAAATTTATTTTATGTTTTATAATTGTTTTTTTTTTTTTTTGTGGTATTGGGGATTGAATCCAGGGCCTTGTGCATGCTAAGCCTTGTGCTCTACCACTGAGCTACACCTAGCCCATGATATTTATTCTTTATTATGCTCCCAAGGCCTCCACTTTCTGGGCCATCCCTTCTCCTATCATCTCTACAATCAATAGGATTCTCAGAGTCTTCCCAGGTGATCTTATCCCAGTGTCCAGGCCCCTCCAGGTGAGCAGGCCTAGCTACTCCCGTGTGTCTGTTCAGGATAGGACATATCTATGTCCCCCACCAGGCAGCCTCACAGGGGACTCAGATTCACAACACTGCCTTTACATTCATGCTCCAATTTAACTACTTGAATCTCTGCCAATTTCTTTTCTTCACTGTCAGTTCAATCACGTTTGAGAGGAAAGAACAGATGATTTGAAGCCAGGAAATCCTGGGTGGAAACCTAACTCCAGTACTCAAATTGAACTCTGTGCCTAGGAACAAATTTCATCCTCTTGGGCCTCAGTTCACTAATGTATAAAAAAAAAAACAGCTATGCAGAGGAAAAGAAACGATGGGTATAAACTGCCTGGCACATAGTAGGTGCTCCTTTTCTTCCCTGACTCTCTGCCCCCCCACCACCTACAACTGTTGGCTTTAGTTTCTTTCTCTCCAGAATGTTTTCTTGCATCCGTATCAGAGACCCCACCCCCACGTGCTTCCTGCTGGCAATAGCTTCTATACCTGAATCCTGAAGAGTGTTTTAAAATGTGCGTTAGGAAATGTGACTAGAGAGCATTGCCCAACTGTGGTTCTTGAAATAGAAATAACAAGACTGCAAAATCTAGCTTAAGGGGGGCTGTGTGAAGATGGAAGGAGCCAAGAGAAACCCTGGACTCCCCCAATCTTTCTCTTCTCCTTCTCCTGTCGACAGTGTCACCAGATTTAGTAACAGAAAATACAAAGTGCCCAGTTACATTTTAATTTCAGATAAACAAATGATTTTCTAGTATGTCCTAATATTGCACAGAGAAGGAAAATGCCTCTCCAACCAAGAAAAGGAAGTAAGAAAGAAAATAAAGATCGCGACTGTCAGAGATGAATGTGCCTTCCACCTGGTGCCACCAGAGAGCTTAAAGTTCTTCCACCAAAAGGGGTTGCCCAGTGGAGTCCCAACTCCATGGAGTCATGGAGTCCCAGAAAGGCCATTGAACGTGGGCAATTACTGGACAGGTACAGTTTTTTAAGACTTCAGCTGCCTGTCTGTACAAAATCCACCCACCAAATGCTCTTGATAAGTGTGTTTTATGGTATATTTTATTCATTAATATTTAAACATAATTTTGTTCAATGAGCACATATTTTATATTTCAACCTAAGAACACTGGAAAAGAGGAGATAAGGCAGCCATAGTTAGATACAAGTGAGTTTTCTCTTAATTCATTTGGATTTGAATTTTCTATCATAAGAGGGAAAAAAAAAAGGTGATAAAATTACACATGAAAATGAACATATGGTACTGTATAAACTGAAATATCATCTCAATTGGGTTATTGCAATAACTTCCCAATTGGACTCCTGGCTTTTTCCTATCCACCCTTTTCTCAAACCAGTAGCCAGAATGACCCTTGTTAAAAAAAAAAAAAAAAAAAAAAAGAGTCAGATCATGTCATTTCCTTGCTCAGAATCCTCCAGGGGCTTTCTAATTCACTCTGTGAGACAGTCTCCAATAGCCTTTGGGGTCCTGCAGGATGTGGCTCTTCTCTAGTCTTCCTGGGTCTTCTCTTGGCTTCAGCTACCCTGGCCACTGCCCATGACATCCTTGCCCAGGACATTCCATGCTCATTCTGTCCCCTCCTTCAGGGCTTTGTTTCATGCCAGCTTCTCTGAGTGCCGTCTCTGGCCACCACTCTGAGCACATCCTATCCCCGCTCTCTGCTATATTTGCCTCCAGTCCACTGATCTCATCAACTGATGAGATGCCTGTGTTATTTAGCTATGCATTTTGAGTTACGTCGTTTGTATCTCTCCCCACTAGAATGCCTGGCAGAAATGATGGCATCTAGTTCACTACAGCTTCCTTAGCATGGACAACAGCACATGGCACATAACAATGCACTCAATCAAATTATTAAATGTTGAGTAAAAATAAGGTAAAAATAACGATGAGCTGCCATAAGATAAAGGATATTTACTGAAAGATAAATGAATAAATGTAGGGTTTTCTTTAAGAAAAGTAAGAAAATATTTCATCCCTGAAGTCCCTTGCTTGCTCTCATGTTTTCCTTATTAGAACAATAAAAAAAACCAGAGACGGTTCATCATTTTTTCTGCCTTGATATTAATATTCTAGATGCAGGACAGAGCTTTTACACTGTATAGCATTTTCTAAATCATAAGATTGGGAGAAAGGACCATTTGCTGAAATAATGTCCTTTTAAAGTGCTTTCCAGGTCTCTACCCTCAGGCTAAGAACAGTCAAGAAATTCTAAAATGAAGAATGTGCTCCTTATGAAGTTTCAGCACAATGGGCATCCAATAAACATTTGTTGGTTGGAAAAGTTCGCATTTCTCACCCTTTTTACTGAACAACCTTTAAATGTGAGATGTGTCAAAATCCAAAATGCCAAACCGATTTCTCATTACCTCTCGGCCGCGTCTCTGATGAGCTGCTGCAGGTCCACCTCCTGCTTCCTCAGGGTTCCAAACGAGGACTGACTCTCCACCAGGCCTTTGCCTCCAATGTTCAGCTTGACCTTCCCCAGAATGGTCTCAATGGACCCACTCACATGGTTTTCAAACTTGCCCTCGTATTTCACAAAGTCGGACTCCACGACCACTGCAATGAATGGAGAAGAAAAATCGGAAGACGAAAAAGCCGCTTGTGTCTCACCTAGCTTCCAACCCTGCCCAGACCCTTGGGAAACATGCTGCTGGCATCCAAATGGAAAGCCAGCACTATATTTTATGTAAGAGCAAAAGAAACGGAGCCACCACAACTATGTGTAACCAGGAGCATGTCTGGAATTGCCTAGGCTCCCTGGATGCTTTTTAGTCTTTTCAATCCCAATGTAAGTATAGGAAAGTGCACAAAAAGCATCAGTGCAGTTCAGCAAATCATTTTCAAGTGAATGTTTCTTTAACCACAGTTGTGGTTTGTATACAGTGTCATCCAAAAACTCCTTGTTAAGTCAGGAATGTTCCAAGGTGAAATGATTGGATTATGAGAACTGTAACCTTATTAAAATAGAAATTGGTACCAAAAGTGGGGTCATTGCTGTGACTAACCTGGCCATGTGGTTCAGAAGCTTTGGGAATGGCTTGCAGGAGAAATTTGAAAATGCAGGCTAGAGAAGCCTTAGAATTGTGTAAGCAGAGATTAATGGGCAATTCTGGTGGGAGCTCAGAAGACCAGAATCTTGATAGGAAAGTAGACTCTGCTTATAAGGTTTCAGAGGAAAATGAGGACTCTATTAGTAACTGGACTAGAGATCATTCATGTTACATTCTGGCAAAGAAGTTGTCTACCCATTGCCCATGTCCTGACATTTTTGGTGAGGCTGAGTTTAAAGGTGATGGACTAATTAATCTGATAGAGGAAAGTTCCAGGCAGCATAGCATTCAGTCAGTGGCCTGGATTTTGCTGGCAGCTTTTATCCACATTTAAGTAGAGTTGAAGGGGACCAAGAAAGGTAGGCTTTTTGAAGAGATCATATCTTCAAAAGAAATGCTAAGTACTTTGCACAGAGGAAACTGGGAAGATACCTCAAGGGCATCTCAGGAATTTGCAAGATCACATCCACTTCCAGGTCAAGGATGTAAAATGGAAAATTCCTTTGAGAAGAGATCATGGGAACACCCTGCTTCCATAGCAGAGCCTAGGAAGTTATTTCACCAGATTCAGCTACCCAAGCATTCAGAGGTTGCTGCAGCTCTGGTTCCAGGGGGACCAAATATGTACAAGCTGACAGCAGACCTTGGTGTCATCCACATGGTGCTGGTTCTGCAAGAATGCAAGATACTAAAGTTCAGGGGTCATGGAGATCACAGTCACTAAGATTTCAAAGGAAAGGCTGGGAGGCCAGGTAAAGTATAGCAGGCTGCCCCTGAGACATGATGCATGGAGCTTTGAAAGTGAAGCCAAAACTGAAATGGAGACCACAAGAATTAAAAATGTCAGCAACACGGACTGTTTACCACAGTTGCTGGCTGCAGAGAGATCCAGGCTAAAAGAGAGGCCCTGTGCCCGGCAACCAGCAAGGCCAAAGGGGTGTACTGCCCACACCCTTTGGAGAGCCCATCTCAAAGCTACGTGTCAATTGATGTTGTACACAGAGTTAGCAGACCTGTTTGCCCAGCTGGGTTTGAGTCTTGCTTTGGCCTTATCACTTCTTTCTATGCCCCTATTCTTCCCTTTTGGAATAAAAATATTGGATTGTTTTATTTTTACAGGGGCTCACAGCCAAGAGTTTGCCTCGAGTCTCAGATGAGACATTGGACTGGGACTTTGGGGCAATAACTCTCAAGACTATGGGACTCTTACAGAAGGACTAAATGCATTTTGCATTGTGAGATGGACATGAGCTTGGGGGACAAGGGGTAGAATTCGTGGTTTGGATATAAGGTGTGACCCAAAAGTTAATGTAGTAATGTCCACAGATGACATGATTGAATTGTGAGAGTTATAACCTTAAGGGTCCATCCTAATTTGAATGGACTGGATGGTAACTGTAGGTCAGTAGCTGGAAGAGGGGAGTCACTGGGGATGTGCCCTAAAGGAGCTTATCTCCCCTGCAGCCTCTTCCCCCTTCCCCATCTGTGCTTTCTGACTGCTTCTCTCTGCACACACTTCTGCCCTGAAGTGTGCCTCACCTTGGGCCCAGAGCATTGCAACCAGCTGATATGGACTCAGACATCTGAAACCATGAGCCCCCAAAAACATTTCCTCCACATTGTTCATGTTGGATATTTTGGTCACAGCAACACAAACCTAACTAAACAAACTCTATCCAGTAAAGAAACAGAGAATTTTAAATGTGTGATTTACAAGAGTAAACTGAAAAGGAATGGCAGGTGGAAGACACCTAAGCCCTCATCATAATTGCACCCCACCCCCTAGAGGAGTGCCTCAGCATCTGGCAGGTCAGCCATCTGGACCTGTCCTTGGTCAAATTGCCTTCCCATCCACCAGTCTTGGGAACATTCCCTGTCCCTCATTATCTTCCCCAATCAGATAATTTTCTTCCCATGTTTACATTTTTCCCATCTGTCCTCAATCCATTCTTTATCATGCAATTCCTTATCACTGTCCTCCTTATAAAGTCAGCTGGACACACCCAACCCCTCAATCACCATCCAGAAGCTCCAAGATTCTCTCCCTTCTTCTTTCCTGGTTTCCCAGATGCTAAGGAATCTGCCACCACGACTGGTATCCCACCTTCAGTCATATCAACTGGCAATTGCTGTTCCTCATCTGGCCATATCCAGTGATTGCTATCAGAGATCCTTAAAGGTCTACCCTTCTTATCTGAACTCTAAAGATAAATATCTGAACTAGAGCTTCCTCTTGTCTCCAACCTTCTATTGTTGTGTGTGTGTGTGTGTGTGTGTGTGTGTGTGTGTAAGTGCGTGCACTGGAGTTGAACACAGGGCCTTGGGCATTCTAATCGCACACTCTACTACTGATATCACTAAGCTACACTGCAACCTCTATTCCCATTTTTAATCGAAACAGATACTACCATAAAATAGTCTCCATCATTACATGGGTAAGGATAAATTAAGAACCTGCTAGGAGCTGAGCATGGTGGTGCACGCATATAATCCCCCTGGCTTGGGAGGCTGAACAGGAGGATTGCAAGTTCAAAGCCAGCCTCAGCAACTTAGTGAGACCCTGAGCATCTTAGTAAAATCCTCTCTCTCAAAATAAAAAATAAAAAGGCCTGAGGATGTGGCTCAGTGGTTAAGTGCCCCTGGGTTCAATCCCCAGTGTTAAAAAAAAAAAAAAAAGAGCCTGCTACGAACTTCACAGTTAGACTTTTCCATTTCTCTGATCCAAGGTTCTATTGGGCTCCTGGGTATCCTTCACAAGGGATTAAAACCCTTGTGAATCCATACACACACACACATACACCCAGAATCCATACATACACACACACACACATACACCCAGAATCCATACATACACACACACACAGCCTCAACAGCTGCATTTCTTTCACACCAGTCAAGAAAACCCACTCCTTACCCAGGGTTGATAAGTCATCACCATTCATTATTTTTTCAATTTACAAAAAAGAGCATAATTTTCCATACCATCACCCCAAATAAGAAGTCTATGAAAATGCTCTCAATCCAAAGCCTTTCCTAGTTAACATCTTGCGAAATACAAACACTTTGGGAAATGCTTTGGGAAGCAGGGTGGAGCAGATAGTAATAGTTTAAGATCATGTCTTTGCTCTAATATTACTAACTGGAAGACCTTGGGTGAGAACTTTTTTTGATACAAGGCCTCACATATTCTAGGCAAATACTCTACCACAGAGCTACATCATCAGCCCTGGAAGACTGGACAACATTCATTTACTTGCATCCCAGATTTTCATATGCAATTTGCAGATAACCAATGATACCTACCTGATGCTGTTGCTAGTTGATGTATAAGAAGGAAGAAATACAGCCAGGGCTCCATCTGTCTATCTATTGGGTTTAGACTAGAGCAGCATTCTTTTCTTGTAAACAGGACAGTCGTAGGTTCTACAAAGTGCTATACAGACAGAAGTTCTATCTTCAGGACACCCTTCTGGATTCAGGCTTGTTACCACTGTTGGAAACTGTGTCTCCAAAACTAGCTACACAAAGTGGGGACAATCAGGACTTTGTGTACTCTGGGACACCACCCTAGACACACCTCCTGAAAAGATGTCATTTGCCCATACTTCTACATCAATCATCCACTGCTACTGGTGGAAAAAATGAGGGGACCAGCACGCTGTCATGGAACTGCCAGGAACCAAATCACTGTCCCTTCCACAATCACTCCCCTGGTCAACACTCATGCCAGGGCTGTTGGGAGCAGGAAAAAAAAAAAAACACCTAAAAGTAAAGCATCCTAAATCATCTTGGTAGATAGAGTAGGGAACACATTTCAACACCAATATGGCAGAATCCAGGATGCGCTCTGACCTCAGATGATGATCATATTCTTTATCTGCAGTGACAGTGACTGGCCTCACCAACTCAATGTGGTTTTCATAATCTTTCAGGACACCACAAAAGCCATTTTATATCTCAAAGCAGAGGAACTCCAATTACTCAGGGGCCCTTGGTCTATTTGGGGAATTTTTTTTCTCTCTTGCTCCTGCTTACATTTAGTTATTTCACAATTCAATAGAAATTTTACTAGAAAGCACACAAATCCAAGCTAGGGCATGATGAAAAACTAATATCAATTCATTCTCCCCTTGCTTGGCAGCTCCAATGGGCTGACTAAAGAGAATACTGGCCGGAGTACTTGCCTGGAAGAAAGTTTGGAGACTCTTTTCCCCTTTAATAGATATACAATCACAAAATTAGAGAATTTTAGAGCTGAAAGAGGACTAAGACAAATTCCATCCACTAATTAAGAACTGATGAAGCAAGGCACAGTGGTGCACGCCTATAATCCCAGAAACCTGGAGGCTGAGACAGGAGGATTGCAAGTTAAAGGTGAATCCTTTCTCAGTACAAAATAAAACAAATCAAAACTAATCCAGTATTCTAAGAACCCATGCTAAAGTGATTACTTAAAAATACCCACAAAAACATAAATAAAATGTTCACTGCAGCCTTCTTTATTAAACACTAAATTGGAATGGTTTAGAAAATTAGGGTGTATACACACAAAGGAACAATGTGTTTGTTGAAAATATCATTAAAATACTTAAAATTATGGAGAAAACTTACATAAAGTTAAATTTAAAAAATTAAAAAGGAGTGCATAAAAATTAGTATGATTCTAATTCTGTTTTTAAAAAGTTAGATGACAAGGCCAGGAACAGTGGCACACAGAGGATTGCTTGATCCCAGCTCAAGGCCAGTCTGGGCAACATAGCAAGACCCCCATCTCTAAAAATAAATAAAATAAATGTTAAAAAATTAGATGCAGAGAAGAAAAGACTAGACTTCTGTGTTAATGGAGATTAACCAGCAATGATGGAATTTTTGTTGCTCTTTTTCCTTCTTTACCTATCTATATCTTGTAACATAGTCATCATATGTCACTTTACGATGGGGACAATTTATGGGGAATGCATCATTAGGCAATTTCATCATTGTAAAAACAGCATAGAGTGCACTTATACAAACTGAGGCAGCTAAGATGTCACTAAGTAATATGATCATAAGGAACCACCATCTTGTATTCAGTCTGTCACTGACTGAAATGCTGTCCTTGACTGTACTATAATATTGCATCCAAGTTTTTGTGCAATCTGTCTGTTGACAGCCATCAAGCCCCACCCACACACACACACACACACACACACACACACACACACACACACACTCTCTCTCTCTCTTCTTTTTCTGTTGCACATCCAAACTAGTAAGAAAATCCAGTTGCTCCCTTCATTGATGTTACACCACACAAGCTCCAATCAGTACCCCATCTCCGTCCAATAATCACAATAAAAACTGAGCCTGTCTCCTTACCCCTTCTCTGTATCCATTTTTGGCCCAGTCTGAGAATCTGCCTTATGCTCCCTAGAAGGTACTAACCCTTTACACCCCCTTGGATAGGTATGTGGCATCATCAATATCAACAACAAACAAAATTTTGAGTAGGGGACACATTCCACTCATGCTGAGTGCCCACAACATTTATGATGGACATGACTGACTTTTATACCAAAATTGAAATAATATTTTTAAAAGATTAAGCTGTAACTTTTCATGTTGTGCATGCAGAATTTCCTTCATTTTAAGTAAGGATATGTTTTTTAGACAGTAGGCAAAGAAAAATGAGAATTAGTTAGAAGGTATCGCCTCAATTCCAGGGAACACATGTCTCAAAGAAGATCCATCTTATGTCTGGGAATAATTGTAGAATACACAAAGAAACATACCTGGACTCAGAAATTGATCTTCTGTGAGTACATCTCCAAGGGTGACAGATAAAAACTGGTACTTGGGTCTCTGCCAGCACCAGTATCTCTTCTTTTTGGTCACCAGACTTAGAAGTTGTAACTTGTCAGAGTCATTTAAGTTTGATACAGAAATCAGGTTACCGTCAGCATCAACTTCTTTAAGAAAATTCCTTGTTGCTTTGGCAAACATTTTGAGGGTTCCAGATTACCTGAAAAAATAAGGTTATCCTAAAATCAAATGAAGTTATTATTTTGTGTCTTTTTTCCTAAAATTATATTTCTCCTTAATCTCAATCATTCATATGAAATAATATTTTCTCCCAATGAAGCCCTCTAATTTGAGTTAAATTGATGTCAAAGAAATTAAATTGAGATATTGAAAGACAATATGTGAATCAGTCAGGATAGGCTAGGTTATGCTTCTGGAACAAACAATACCCACATCTTAGTGGCTTATAATAATAATTTTTTCTGTTGCTCACAATCCAGGATGGGCTGAGAGTTCTATATATTATAGTCATTGATATCCAGACCAAAGGAAAAGCCACTACGCTAAACATCATCAGTCATTATTTAACAGAAAGAATTCTGGAAGTTCTCATACCTGTAATTAAATGCTCTGGCCCAACAGGACACATGGCATGTTCACTTATAACTTATCAGAGCTAATTACACAGTTTCATCCAACCATGAGGGTGAAGAAATACAATCCTACCAAGAATCTGGAAGGCAGCTGAGTGTGATGGTACATGCCTTTAATTCCAGTTAACTTGGCAGGCTGAGATAGGAGGATCATAAGTTCAAGGCAAGGCTGGGCAATTTAGAGAGACCCTGTCTCAAAATAAAAAATAAAAATAGGTGAGGATGTGGCTCGGTGGTTAACCATCCTATGTTTCAATCCCCAGTGGGGGAAAAAAAAATCACCACTTGAGCATTTGAAGATTTTGTCATCTGTGATGGGTAGAGGGTGAGGCATCCTGGAACCAGTCCCTTAGGGATGATTGTGTTCTCTGTAAGGTCAAAAGTGTCCTCTACACTGTGATCCTTCCAATTCAGAAATGAAAATTAACTTGCTACTACTACTGAACCTAGAAATAATAGCACAGTCACAATTTAGCTGGAGAGAAAAGAGACACACTGGAAGATAGAAAAGAAAAGCACTACATTTAGTGGAACAGGTACAATACTATCAACAAACAGTGGTGGAAAAATGGGCTGACCATCTGGAAAAAAAAAAAATCTGATTCCTTTCTAATACCAAATGAGGAAATTCTCAATGGATTAGCAGTTCCTTTGAGGAAAAACAAAACCATAAAAGTAGTATGAAAAAAAAATACAGAGAAATGTTTGTACAATTGTAGGATAAGAAGGGCCTTTACAAAGATAAGGCGCAGGGGCTAGGGTTGTAGCTCAGTGGTAGAGTGTTTGCCTCCGACGAGGGAGGCACTGGGTTTGGTCCTCAGCATCACATAAAAGTAAATAAATAAAATATTGTGTCTATCTACAACTAAAAAATATTTAAAAAGAAGAAAGAGGGTAAACTGAGAAAGTGCTAGTAATATTCAACAAAGTATGAAAGTGCTTATAAAAAAAAACACTTTACAGATCAGGCTTTAAAATATCCCAGTAAAAACAGGGAAGATAAACAATTCACCATTCACAAACTACACAAATCACACACACACACACACACACACACACACATACTTACTTGTACATAATTTAAAAATTACATTTA